CCTAAACCCTAAACCCCAACTCCCAAACCCCAAACCCTAAACCCTAACCCTAAAACCCTAAACCCCAAACCCTAAACCCTAACCCTAAAACCCTAAACTATAGACCCCAAACCCTAAACCCTAAACCCTAAACCCCAGGCCCTTTGCAACCTGGAGAATCAGCCAGACTTCCAGACTTGGTCTCCAGAAAGGCCCTTGCCTCCAGACAGCCCTCCCGCTCCGATCCTGAACTGATCTGGGAGGCATCGGGTTTAGGGCTTTTAGGGTTTAGGGTCGTTAGGGTTTAGGGTTTAGGGTCGTTAGGGTTTAGGGTTTAGGGTTTAGGGTCGTTCGGGTTCAGGGTCGTTAGGCCGTTAGGGTCTTTAGGGTTTAGGGTTCAGAGTTTAGGGTTTAGGGTTCAGGGTTTAGGGTTAAGGAATTTAGGGTTTAGGGTTTTGGGTTTAGGGCCGTTAGGGTTTAGGGTTTAGGGTTCAGGGTTGGGAGGCATCGGGCCGCCACCGACGGCATATCTATTCTCAATTATTCGTTTCTGGGGGGCGGTTTAGGGTTTAGGGTTTTGGGGTTTAGGGTTTAGGGTTTAGGGTTTAAGCCCCACGTCTTGGCTCGCAGAAATCTTCACTGGTCTTCTTCGCAAACGAACAGCAAGCCCTGGTGAAGGCCGCAGCCCACATGGCTCCTCCAAGGCCATGGATCTTTTCTAGGAGTGGACTGCCGAGGACACGAGGTAAAAATGGGAATGTGTCTGCGCCCTACACCTTACCCTTAAACCCTAAACCCTAAACCCTTAACCCTAAACCCTAAACCCTTACCTTAAGAGCCCGAAAAACCACACCGGAGAGCTTTGGTCCCAACCCTAAATCCTAAGCCGCCAAGGCCCTAAACCCCGAAACTCTAAACATCTAAACCCCTAAACGCCTAAATCCTAATCTTTGGCCCCCTAGAGCTGAGAGCCTGCCCTTCTAAACGTGCAGCTTCGGCTGTCTAAACCCTGAACCCATACACCCTAAACTTTAGGCCCGAAATCCTTTTCAACCCTGAATCCTATAATAATATAAAACCCTGAAGCCCTAAACCCACCCCCTTTTCCGGATTACCGCCGCCAAATGTCGGCTCCGACAGCTGTAGCTTCTCACCGCAATTCCGGATCGGCTCAACTCTGATGCGCAGCCTACGAGTACCAGTGCAAGAGGAGCACACGACCAGACATGACCTCCGATCCCACACTTCAGCAGCAGTGTGGAATTCGGGATGCGCAGCATAAGCCTTGAGCGCTACCTGACGCCTGGGGTCCCAACATACTTTCTAGCAGACCATCACTCGTATTGTTACTATTATCATGATTAGTAGTAGCATCATTATTCTTATCTTTCTATCGACTATGAAGTCCGCTAAAATGCCGCGAAGCTAGCCCTCTCATCGGCGGGCATAACTCTTAGCGACCCATGAGCACTCCGAGCGTTGCATGTCCCCACGGCGGGCGGCTGCTCGCAAACCTCCGTGGAGGTTCGGTTCGATTTCGGGTTACAGGGCGTAGGGCTTTGAGTTTGGGGTTTAGGGTTTACGGTTTGTGAAATGCCACAGGCTTCAATACGGCGTTTCTCACAATTCGGAATGCCTTGTTTAGCAGCCTTTGCAACTAGAACGTAAGCGACTGTTCAGGACGCTTGCTCAGTGCAACTAGATCTTTCAATGATTTGGTGCATCTCCCTGCAAATGCTTCTTTCTTGTTGCGGAGATATAGCCACCAAGCTAGTGGTCCAAACAAGCTACTACAAGTCGGAGTCTAGGTAACCCCTAGACCCTGAACCCCCGAACCCCTACACAAATCTCTAAACCCATAAACCTCTAACCCCCACAAAACCGCTTAAGCGATTAAAGGAGCCCTTAAACGGCAACCCGAAACCCTAAACCCAACCCAAAACCCAAAACCTTAAACCCTAAATCCTGCACCCAAACCCTAGGGCTCCAAGTATACAAATAGAACCTACTTTTTTGGGGCCTAAAGTCTGTAAATAGTACCTACTTTGGGCTTTTTGGAGCCCCAGGGAAACACAACTTCGTGTCATTATCCCCCCCCCCCCCCGCCGAAGCTGCCCTGCGGAGTACCTCTGCTCTTAGCTTCTGAACTTCATGGCATCATGTATCTAAGGGCTTTAGGAGGGACCCTTAATAGGGACCCTTGTAGGTTATTGTGGTTAATATGGAGACTACCTGGCACAATGGTTATTTAAGGTAATGGGATTAAGGGTCCCTATTAGGGGTCCCTCCTAAAGTCCTTAGAATGTAGCCCAGGTTTCCTTTAAGTTTAGGGGTTTAGGGGTTTAGAGATATTCAGGGTATATGAACGTCCATGTACCCAAATATGTGTACCTTGCTCCGAAGGACTTATGTAGGGACTACTTTAAGGCCAAAAGTACCACTAAACCCTCAACCCTAAACCCTAAACCCTAAACCCTAAACCCTAAACCCTATACCCTAGACCCTCAACTTTAATCATATACCCGTTGGGTACAGGGACCCCTGGAGGATGGTATCCAGGTATAGGGTTTGCAGGGGCTTTAGAACCTACAGGGCTTGCAGTGCTCATAGAGCTATAGGGCTTCATTATAGGGTTTATGGCGTTTGTAGGGCTTGGAGCTTAGGGGGTCGCATGTTGATATCTGACCGCGTGGCGGCGGGCCTGAATGTCTTAGGGCATACGCGGCAAGTGCTGTAGATGACATGACTTCGTGCGTGTGGCTGTGGAAACGTAGGTATTCGTGCTTCAGGAAATCCAGGGACTCAAACTTAGGGCACTCATTTAAAATGATTTCAACACACGTTGCCCAAGTGATCCGCGACATCCGCTTTGGGACCATATTGCGAGCGCCAGACCCAGCTGTAGATGCATTCAACGAGACGCACGTTGTATAAAGAGGCGAAATCGCTGTAAATGACAGGGTTTTGAGCATGCTTGCAACATGGCATCGTCACTTGTGACAGCGCATCGTGTTGCCGAACATCAAACATCCTTGTGCACATGTTGTATAAACAGGCAGAAATGCTGCAAATAGCAGGGTTTGGGTTGGTTTGTGCAACATGGTCGTAACCACCCCCCTCCCCCCACCCCCTTCGCCCTCCCCTTCACCCCCCCGACCCCCTGGGTCCCTTTGACTTGAAAGAGAAATCACCGCCCATGCCACACAAGGACACGGACGTGCATGGCGAAGAGCTTCGGCCCAGGCCTACACCTATTCTCGGGGGAATCGGGTCACCTTTGAACAAGTCACGGGCCGACTCAGGCCCACAAGCATCCGGGATTCCATTGGAGGAACCAGACGTGCTATCTTTCGGCTACTTCCGCTTCCAAAGGTGGTCCTCGCACTCGCCTGTTCAGCTGGAACTGCTGGGGAGCCGATGCCAAATATGCTGAATTCAACCATTGGCCTGACACTCGTGGGCAGGACATCGACATTTCCTACGCGTGCGTGTGTGGGCTTAGGGCCCAGGGCTTTGAATTTGAAGCTCAAGATATGAAGCCTTAAACCGTGAACCCTAAGCCGCAAACCGTAAGCTGGACCAGGACATAGGGTTGATAGAGTCTAGGGTTTTACCGGAAAGTCGTTTACGGTGTAGGGCTTTTAGCACATCAGGGTTGAGGGTTTTGCGGCTTAGGGTTAAAGGGTTTAGGATATCAGGGTTGCGTGTCAAGAAGGCTTAGGCGTACACCAAGTAACTACAGTCAAACTTTGGCCCAAAACGACCTGCCCCTTTTAAGGCATGTATACGCACAGTATAACAAGCCTTAACTCTGAACCCTAAAACCCTCAAGCCCTAAAGCCCTAAGCCCCAAACCTAAGCAAAAGAACCCGAGTGCTGAACTTCAGGACAAGTCACGTATGAAAATTGAGCCGAAAGCTAGAGGGTCCCAGGTACCTACATCGTAGAAGGTATTCCTTTTGTAGCAGGAATTATGCCATATCCCCAAGATCGCGCCCTTAATAACTGGAATAGGGTCACTCTAAGGGTCTAGTGGGCTTCGTAGGATTTTAGCGGGGTTTTGTTTGTGGGCCGCCACGAATAGAAAACATTTTCCTTTCGGGTCCAGGTGCCCAAACAGTACATACTGTGGCCTTAAAGTAGCCCAAAGTATATACTATTTGGGCACATGGACCCTTAGGGTTTGGGGCTGTATTCTCGTCGAAGGTATTGCACAGGGACGATAAGGGAGTCGGATTATTAGTTTGCAGACGCCCATGTTAGCACAGCTTTTGGACTGCAAAGCCACCCTGGTGCACAAAGTGTAGGCTTTGGGTTTTAGGGTTTGGGGTTTAGGCCTTAGGCCCTAAACTCTAAACTTTAGGGTTTAGGGTTTAGGGTTTAGGGTACTCTAAACTTTAGGGTTTAGGGTTTATAGGGTTTAGGGTACTCTAAACTTTAGGGTTTAGGGTTTATAAGGTTTAGGGTACTCTAAACTTTAGGGTTTAAGGACGTGCCCCGGGGCCCTTGACCCTTGAGCCTCTGACTTCCGCCAGGTTGTTTCCTCATCTTTGTCCTTAGGGTCTAGGGTTTAGGTTTAGGATACTCTAAACTTAAGGGTTTAGGGTTTAGGCTACTCTAAACTTGAGGGTTTAGGGTTTAGGATACTCTAAACTATAGGGTTTAAGGACATTGAGCCTCTGACTTCCTCCAGGTTGTTTCCTCATCTTTGTCATTGCTTCTCTTGCTTGCCGCAGCCCCTCCGCCCACTTGGAGGGGGAGGAAGTATCTCAGTGGATCCCGTCGGAGGCGGTGGCTGTGTAGATCAGAACATAATCATAGTTTCCATAACTCAGCGCTTAGATGTGTTTTTGCTTGCGCATGTGGCTTTCCATTGTTTCTTCGTCATTTCGCTCGGGATGTGATGAACTTTGAATCAGGAGCCCACGTATCCAAACTCTAATGCCCTGCAGCACAGCAAAAGAAATTGAGGGTGTAGGGTTTAGGGGTTTAGGGTTTAAGGGTTAAGTTTAGGGTTTCAGTTTCAGGGAACCCCAGACAGTTGCAAGATGGCTTTAGGATGATTCCTGCTAAGATCCTTCATGCTTTACCTCCGGGGCATGAGGACAATGATGTTCCAACTTTCTGGCTTCGACTTTTAAATGCCAAAGAAACGCTAAAGCCCCGAAGCCTAAAAGGCTCCTATGGTTTAGGGTTTAGGGTTTAGGGTACTAGAATGTAGTGTTTTCTATACTAGGAATCGTTCTTATGAGTCG